CGACTCGCGATCAATGCTATTCTAAACGACAAAGGTTTTCATAAACCGTCTATTGAAATATTTAAGTGTGACAAATATCATTCGATGGACTCTCAGCATTTTCTTGACTGGCTCTCACTCACCTGTGCAGAACTTCGCGTTATTCATGGTATGTGAAGCGAAAAGTACTTTCTATGAATTTAAGTAATTTATTTTTCATTAAGGCAAAAAACCTCGAATTTGTCTGATTCTCGATAATGCCCCGTGGGATTTTAAAGAATCGGAAGAAACGAAAGTCCCTAAAAGAGGATCACGAAAGCTGATTTTACAGGAATGGTTAGAAGAGCACAAGATCGTATATGATCCCAGTATGAAAAATTCCGAGCTGTTGTATTTGATAGAAACGAACGCTCTGGTTAAGAAGTACAAAGTAAGGCAACAGACCTGCATACAGAAAAACATGAATTTCTAAGAGTTCCTTTTTTTAGTTTTATGAAGTTGCTTCAACGTATAATGTTGAAATCATTCGGCTGCCGGTTCGCCACTGCCAGTTGAATCCGATAGAGTTGGCTTGGGCAGGCCTCAAAGATTATGTTCGTGATCGGTTTAGGATTCGCGACGTCGAAAATCTGACAATGGAATGGTGTGCAGCCTTAGGACCAGAGGTTGCAGGTGGATATTTTGAGAAAGTGAAAGAATATGAAGAAATGTTCAAACGGGCGGACGAAATGATAGAGACTGATGTTGAACCTGACATCGACGAAGAAGACAGCGAAGGAGAAACCACAGATGACGGACTGAGTGAAGACAATGAGGAAATTTAACTATTTTTTATACGAATTTTTTCTTTTCGAATAAAAACGAAAGATGTAGCTCAAATTTCGCCAAAGGTTTTCTTACATTCATCTTAATGTACCCTTGATAAAATAATAGATTGTTTTGCGCTAAAAAATGTAACTGTAGTAGAAAACGGACGTTGCCACGAGAATCTGCATGTAAAAAGACCTATACCTCGCTATTTTCAACGATAGTGTAGCGTAAGGTTCCTGTGTAGACCTGGCTCCGAAAAAATCCTGTATCTCCAGAACCCTAGGTCCTAGAGACCTAATTCTTTCGAATTCGGAAAGAGGACACTCGAGAGTAGTAGTCTAGGAGGAAAAATAAAAAAGAATTTAACTCCAAAAATTTGGAGGTTTTAAACTTTTTCCGGGTTATTAATAACTCGGAAACTTTTTTGAAATTTTTTATTTTCACATGGTCTTACGTGCCGCGGTGTCTACTTTTAGAATCTGAAAACCGCAAGTCTGTAGCATTCACCGTTAAAAAGTTATAAGCGAAATATCGGAGTCCATTATATTTTGATACAGATAGTAATTTGATAAGCGTATCTGCATCATCTTTTTCTAAATCTGCAAATGACTCAGTTTTTTCATTACAGATTTTGTCAACGAAGACATTTCGCTTTTCGTTACGAAGAATGGTACAGATCAGAGCATCGTTCGTTACTTTCGCTTCTTAGTGATCCGTTTATTAGCTAGACGTTTGAAGTCAAATGCTGCTTCTTCTTCAATAGCAAATATTCGGATAGTTTCTTTTTCCTCCTTTGATTATGCTTTAGTTTTGTCTCAGCTTTGCAAAGAAAAAACTCTCACAACTAGAAAAAATATAAACACACAATTAATATTAAGGATTTACTTGGTGTACAAGATTCAAATTCAAAACTGAAGGTATAACAACCTTGTTTCTTTTCTTTCTATTCTACTGTGACTGTATGTAGTTCACTCTTGCTTGTTTCTGTAGACCAAACCTATTGCTAGCACACCGTGGCTATCTGGAATGTGTTTGGCCACTAAAGATCTCGATATCGTTATTCCTAATCGATTTTTCATGTTCAGAAATTCATGTATTGAAATTATTACTCTGTCCTATCCGACGTATATATCTCCGCAAGCACATGAGATTACGTAACTGAAACAGTGGGTGGTGCTGCTGTTGGTGCATTTATCGGATCCTGTGTTGTTGCATATGTTGGAAATGAATTTTCTGAAAGAGCTTCGGATGCAGCATTGAATGCTGGAAGTTTTCTAGGAGATTAAAAGTTACAAATGTGTAACAGATTAAAGGAACTTAATTTTGAGATTTGTCTGATGATACGAATATTATTAGTAGCGTTGGAGGCTCCAATATCTTTAACTTGAGGAGGGAGAGGTCCTCCCACCCACATTTTCCGCTAAGTTTGTAGAGCACACTTTGAAACCTAGAAATCAAAATTTTTTTCATTTCCTGGAGCTTAGGTTCTTTCAGAAAAAATTCTGAAGTTACTTCGAGGTAGTTACTTCGAGGGTTTTTGCCCATTTTTTAAAATTTCTATAGAATTTTTTTTTTTAATAGGACGCTAGTTATTGCGCCAATCTCTCGGGCTCATCGAGATCCACCCAGGAAAAACTTTAATTTTTTCTGACGCAATTTGACTGAGCTATTTGAGCCTGGTTCGGTCTATTCACTCTAGAAGCAAAAAGTATTTCTGAAAAGCCTTGAGCACGATTTCGCTTCAGGGAGGCATTTTGGAACAAAAGTTTCGTTGCAAATGTTGTTCAGAATCAAATTATACACCGGATGAGCGGAAGGAATTTTGAAAACACGGTTTTTAAATCGAAATTTACGAAGAATTCGACTATTAAAAACAGTGTTTTGGGATTTAAAAATCGAGTGTAATGATAAATAATGATGCATCGTCCAGTAATCGAAATAACAATGAACAAGGGCAACTAGTTGATTACGAAACGGTTTGATAATGCACAAAAAATCCGATAGTCAGGTGGATGAAACAGAGCAACGAAGGCAGACGTACTATAACAAAAAATGCAACTAAGATGTATTTTTATTCACAAAGATAACAAACACATAAGACAGTTTATGATTCTATTATGGGACCATTACATAGTCCACTAGTTATGGAGATTTCGTCTACAGCTGTATAAAGATACCGACCAACGATGAAATCATTTCGTCTCATATTAAAATAAAGCTAAAAAACAGAGAACATATGTATAATGCACTGTTAAATAGCGGCAGTTACCTTGTAACTAGCAGTAGTAGTGCGAAATTGCTTCTCATGATAAATCCATTTATTCCCAGTCGTTTCTGACACTTGATCAATAGTCTCATTCTTTCCATTTGATTCTATGATAATTTGAATTCGTTGATCGCCATCTCCATTTGTGAAATAATAATAATAACGAAGACATTGGAGGCCAGTAGAGACTTTTTCATTCGACTTCAGAAGATAGCTTACATCAGCCGGTTTCCATTGTCCAAACTCATGTACACCATACCGACCTAAATTATAAAAACTTTCATCAGAAAGGTCTGTTGTCATATGTCTCACATGTACCTTTTTTGCATTGTGCAACAGTGTCAAGCGATGTGTAACAATACGGATTCAGTACACCATAACAAAAGTTCATTTCAAACGATGAGTTTCCCGCT